ACAGAATACACTTACACATGATGCTATTGTATGTTTTTATTTATACATGATATAGGTACTTACAACAAAACTTGTGAATTTTTGTGTTTATTTATACATTTATTGTATGGCAACAACGTAAACTTAAAGATAGGAGCGAGTGTATGCAATTCCAAGATAGAGTTTAGTATTCACCGATCCTACGATAGTTTAAGAGTATATTTCGTACCTGGGGCCGAAAATGACTTTTTTCAGCTCGGGATCATTTTTAAGTTCGAGACGAAGATGAAATCGGTCCGTGGTACGATTGCTGTTTTTCACCAAACTATACAAAACTGAGAAAATATATCAATAATGTAGGCAAGCATGTTTCTTTACAACCTTTTTATCAGCTCGTGAACATCACACAGAAAATATCCGCATATCGGTGGAAATGTATTTTCCTGTCGATCTACAGAATGCCTTTATAAATTAAAATAGGCTAAAAAGACATAAAAAAAGAATTACAAATGTTTAAAACTAACATGGGTTTAACGGGTTGCTATGCTGGTGACGAAATAACAACTAATTATGAAAGTAAAATCAAAACAAATGGAACATATTCCAATCACATTTATTATTTACAGTGTATGTTAAATGGAGAAGTATGTGTAGTACATTGCATAGTTTTTGTCGAGTTTTCAACCGCTGGACCTCAACTTCATTGTACACTTCATTGTTCATTGATCACTGGGAAATCCATTGTAAACTATAAGATATGCACACTAATCAATGCAAATACTTTAAGGTTATGTGAAAAAATATTTAAAGGAATCAGCAAAAATAGTAATACATAATTGCTGGGCAGCGGTCTATTGCAATTCATTAGGGATATACTGCTTGTATATGTAATGATATATATAAATGTTTTAATTAAATAAGCGATTTTCGGTACTAGGGCTGGGAAATTTTAATCACAACTATAGCTGCCATTTCGACCCTGGACAGCAATGCGTAGCTTTCAGCCTCCAATTAACGTCTGTAAAACTACTAAAACAACGTATTGCGGTGAAAAATATTTGCCAATCATACTCAATCGACTCGGAACACTGCAGTTCCTGATTTAATTAAGGGTATTATTAAAAAGTACTCGTGCAGTAATCAATTAAACAGGGTAACGAATTGAAGGATAGATACAACTAGACTATAAGGACGCAAAATACGCGTAGGTACAACTAGACGTAGGGACTACTAGACGGAGGGACCACTAGTCGTAGAGACTACTAGTCGTAGGGACTACTAGTCGTAGGGACAACTGGTCGCATCCGTACAAGCTAGGTGATACTACTTGTCGGTGGGATACACGTCTAGTTGTACCTACGTCTACTTGTACCTACGTCTAGTTGTACCTCCTAAAAATCTGCAGGTACAACTAGTCGGGTGAGCCACCGTCTACTTGTCCCTCCGTCTAGTTGTACCTACGACTAGTTGTCCCTAGGCCTCGAGGTACAAGTAGACGGAGGGACAACGAGACGGAGGGACAACGAGACGCGGTCCCAACTTATATTTGTGTTGAAATTATAGGAGCGCATCAACCATGACTTTTTTTATTTACCAATGAAAACCATGAATTCTGCTTGAATTTTTTTGGTCCCACTATGGTGGCAACCCTGTTTTTGCAGCATTTAGAACTAGCACCTCAGCAATGCCTCCGAGCTAGAATGAGTTATTTCACTCTCATTCTAGTCTAAATCTAGTCCAGTTTGTGATGTTTTTGGATTCAATAAGCTTTCATCAGCTAAAATTATACAAACATTCTATTGACCAGCGTTGCAATTTGAATTACAGTAAAACCAATACAATTTAGTCACGTAAAAACACATAGATATTTCGATAGTAGGCCAAAAACATCGGTAACCTAATATCAATGTAAAAAACACTGAACTTCGATATAAAAACATTGATGTGTTGATAGGATCGGTTACTGATGCTCACCCCTATAGTTAATCTATTTTCACAGCCTACATTACACATGGTGGCACTACTGGGTCGAAATCTTGATATGATACTTTTTTTATGTTATTCACAATTAAATGTACCAACACTTATTATTTTTAAAAGTTGAGTTTTTGTATTTTATTATTAAGTTGTTTAAAAAATAACTGTACATAGGCTTAACAAAGCAATACTCATAATTGCTACTAAAACCACACAAAAACATAGTTGCCTGGGTCGCATTTGACATTTTAACTAGGCTATTTAAAAAAAGTAATCTAATTGAGCAAATTTTACTTGAAATATGTTATGTTTATTCTAATTTCTCTTCTGAAAGTGACAACCTAACATATATTAAATGACTATATTAAGTTAGTATTATTAGGCATATATAGTATATTTAATAAATTCTTAATTCATTATATACAATTTTTATGAGGTATTTAAATAAATGTCATTAAATCTTATTTCTCATCCCAGGGTGTGTGGATGCAGACATTATTGACCTTGGACCAAGGCAATTCTACAACCTTTCTTATCAATGTTATCAACTCACTTTCGTCTGTTAGATCATTAAAAAATAGGTTAACTTAGTTTCAACCAACATCATTCTTGTGCTTTTCTTATAACAATGTAACAGAATTTAGTCTTCCCTTATTTAAATTGTGAAACCATCAAAAAAACATTTAAGAATGAGAATAGTCAAAAAATCAATTAACAAAACAATTCTACATGTTAAGCTCATGGAGATTTCAAAACAGACTTTAAAGAATCAGAATCAGAATACTTTATTCTTGAACATAGAGTATAGAATAGGCGTCAAACATTACAGAGATTTAATTAAAACAGCATACAGTTTTTGGGCTTTGAGGCGCTGTCGGTAGTGATGGTTGTTTAAACATGATAAAAGTAAATATTTCACTTTAAATAAAAACATTCACAATCTATTTCTATACGGGGTGATTTATATAAGTGTACCGGCTTTTTTATTCAAAAATTATAAGAGATATCAACAAATTTTAAATTGTAACTGCCTTGGATTTTTTATTTTACTTGGAACATTTTGGTTGAGTTTAAAAGATTATTTTAGCTGCCATTTTTACAATATGGCTGCAAAATTTTATTTTTCTTATAGAACCCTGTATTTTAATACAGATAAGAAAAATAAAATAGAATAAAATTTTTTTACTATATATTCTGGTAGAAAATGTAATATTAACACGTTATGTGCGAGGGGTGGGAATTCTCGCCCCGCGGGACCGGCGCCACTGGTGCGGGGCGGGAAATCACGTCCTTCACCAATGCCATAAACTTTGCTTCAATGTGAGCTCAGCCATTGCCGGGGAACGTTATAATTGTTGCCAACCTGTAGCATAGAATGCGAGCTTTATTTTGGTGTAGGTTGGTACTAAACATTCCCGTAAAATCCCGTCTGGCAATGCTTTTGACCCGTTTTCGGGGATTTTCTCTATTCGAGCCATAAAGACTCTGGTTATTGATCGAGGCAGTGCTGCTACCTTTGGGTGTTTTAGTGAACTACGTCCACTTTCGGGGTAACACAGAACAATCACCACTGCTCTTTTGTGATTCGACTTACTGAAATATTTCCATGCCAATAGCGATCGCTGATTAAGTTAGCGTGCCGCGCAGTTTAGGAGCGCCTGTGTAAAGGTTTTCAGCAGTGAACATGTTAAGACACCTTTACTCGTGTGTTTTTTTTTTCTTTTTTTCACAAACCTAACCATTTTAAAGATAATAATGGTTAAAGTTGGGAAATGTCAGCAGGAGAAAAGTTTCAATGTAAGCGTTCTAGCTGTTTTATTTGAAAGTTATAAGAGATATCAAAAAAGCCAATTTTGTAACTGCATTGGATTTTTTATTGAAAAATGTCAGTACCCCTAGCTAGCTAACAAGCTAACTAGCTTACAAGTTTAGAAAGTTACGGCATATAAAGAATTTTGTTGTTTATACTAAAAGAGAGATTAACAGCTTGTCAATTGGTCATCACAATTCAATATCTGTGGGTGAAAATTCCTCCACAATAGCTCTAGAGAATGCATGAAAACCCCTGAATTAATGTTGCGGGTTGGTTTACTCATGCCGAAAAATTAATCCAGCAAAAGTTTTATGTATGGCAGAAACAAAAAAATAAAAATGTTACATTAGCAAGGCAATAATAGGTCTGAAATAAAAAGTAAAATGAGTACTTGCCATATCGTATGATTAGGCGGTAGATCTTTGGTCTTTACTGCCTGGATTTAAGTCAGCCATTCACTAATGTCTTTTCTCAGCGAGATCAAGTAGTGTGATGATTTAGAATCCTGGAAATCCATCTTAAGACAAATAAGATGTCTTCCGAACCAGGAGAAAGTTTTTAATTAATACCCTCATCCCATTACCTTTAAGGGATTGAAATAAGAGATTAGTTTACCCTTTGTGATCTGAACACTATTATTAGGTTGTCTCAGTCGTTTGGTCGACCCGCTGTTTGTGTCATAAATAGTTATTATAATGTGGTTAATCTATATCCATAACCTAAACATTAAAAATATACTAAATATAAGCTGACAGTCCCTTGTATATATTTTACATCGGTTGTCCCTGCTGCTATGATGGCCAAATGGTAGGCTACTGTCCTACATTTATCCAACTGAACTCTTAGAGAAACTTCCTGAACAACACATGTGTTAATGCACAAAACGTGTTGTCTGCTGGATGGGTGATAAATATTGAGCAACTTTGAACAGTATTGTAATATAATCCTAAGCTAATTGGGAAGAAACCGCTATGATGGCCGCTGGCCGCTGGCTGATACACGGTGAAAGGGTGTTGATGGTACTGGCCTTGCGAGCAGCAGAGACAGCTGATGTTGAACAATTCTGTGCTGATTGCATTAACAACTAACTGCTACTGAGCACTAGAGATTGCGTAATGTAGTTTGACGTAGAGTTAAAAAAAAATATGTTTAACAAGCAGTTTTTAGGTTGCTTTCTATTTTCAAATTAGAACGTGAAGTAAACTATTATTTTTGTATATTGTGCTTGCAGATGACTGTGAGAGATGCCCTCAATTCGGCATTAGATGAAGAGATGGAACGAGATGAGCGAGTTTTCATACTCGGAGAAGAGGTCGCTCAGTATGACGGAGCCTACAAGGTGTCAAGAGGGCTGTGGAAGAAGTATGGAGACAAGCGAGTCATCGATACTCCGATCACTGAAATTGGATTTGCAGGAATCGCTGTGGGAGCTGCCATGGTAATGAGTTTTTTGAGTAAGACGTTTAAATTCTTAACTTGATATTAAGTTTTAATTGTTCAAAATACTCCTGAACATAAAAATATATAAAGAACATATCACTTGGAAGAAGTTAATAATACCATTTTATAGATTACTTAACCACCGAGTTATGTGATTGCCTACAATTAATTTCATAAATACATGTTTTGTTTTTATAACTAATCTATCAATATTCTTTTAGGCTGGACTCAGACCGATTTGTGAATTCATGACCTTCAATTTCTCGATGCAGGCCATAGATCAAGTTATTAACTCTGCAGCAAAAACATTTTACATGTCTGCTGGACTGGTAAGTTTATTTTCCTTCTTATTTTCACAATGCAATAAGAAATTTCATAACTGAAAATTTTGTTAAATAAAGTTGGTTTATGTGCCCAATGTAAGATATTTTAACTCCCCCCCACTATCTGCTAAATCAGTAAAAATAGAATCTTGTTGCATGAAAAGTATTAACATTTAGCCCTTTGTTTATTTTATGATCTCTCTAGTTTTTGTTAGTTGTACAGCTGCCATTATTGACCTTTATTTAACTATTCATAATTTATATAAGTGATGCTGAACATGTAACATTGCCATACTAATGACAGTGTTTTTTTTATTTAAATTGAATAGAATTGTGTTCCTTAACAATATGTATGCACTTGTTCATTAATTGTATGGTTAATTTAAAATAAATACATTAATAAAGAAAATAATAACTATTAGCTTTTTAGGGAATATTGGAATGAACCCTGTTTATTAACCATTCTTATCAATATTTAGATATATTTAGCTAGGCTGGGGATATGATTATGTCCTTGACCCCATGGCCTTGAATGCCCTTTGATAACAACATAGCCTAACCATTTTGTCATTGGCATCCAATTAAAAATTTTTAGTTAGGCCTTTTATTTTAAAAATTTTTACTTAAAACTTATCATTTTGAAAATTATCTGCATGTCACCTTTTAATGTTATACTTTATAATTAGTGTAAAAAATGCTGTAAAAAGTTTAATTTAGTCTTTAAATTATTAAAGTGAGTTTGTACTGTACGATATCTTTAGCATTGATAACCCATACAGTAACATTTATTAACATTTGCTTGAATTAACGTTGTATCCTAATTGTAGGTTAGTAATTAAATTTTAACCCAATTTATTTTTTGTATTTATCAACAATTTACTATATTGTTGCCTTTTCATTAAGTTACCGTAGGTGAGAGAGAATTTATATAAAAGAAAACAGGAAAAGTGAACAATGTGAATGCTTTAAAGTAGAACAAAGATCTGAAATTTATAAATTTCATTGATAGTTAACAGTTGTGTGCCTAGTTTAAATTAGAAATGTTACTTTTGTGTAGGCTACATTATCTGTTGGAAAACTTAAACTTTTGTGTATACTAGATGCACCACTAGCATTTGGCTTTTGCACAAAACCTATAGAAATTGGGAATGTTAAGCCAATTCACAAAGTAGTTTTACAAGCTACTATGTGTCAGTCCTAAAGCGCTAGGCTATAGTCCGGGATTGTTTTTTCACACGGGATTGAATTTTTAGTTTGGGACAGGATTATTTCCTGTGCATTAAATGAAAGTCTTGAATATTGCAGTTACCAATAAAGACAAACAAAATCAATTTTTACCATTTGTGACACTGATCTATAAACAAAAATTTAAAAATGGGTAAAAATTTACAGGTATGGAAACTTGTAACTCGTGGTCACCGTGCGATTGTCAAAATAACTCGCGGTCACAGCGCGATCCTCAGTATGACTCCGCGGTCACGGCGTGATCGTCGGTATGACTCCGCGGTCACTATGACTTGCGGTCACAACATGATCACCGGTATGACTTGCGGTCACAACATGATCACCGGTATGACTCTGCAGTCACGGCGCGATCGTCGGTATGACTCGCGGTTACGGCGCGATCGTCTTTAGTCGTTATGACCTCGTGGTCACGCCGTGATCGTCGGTATGACTCTGCGGTTACGGCCCAATCGTCGTTAGGCGTTATGACCTTGCGGTCACGACATGATCGTCGGTGTGACTCCGCAGTTACGGCGCGATCGTCGGTATGACTCGGGGTGTCGGCGGGATCGTCGACGATCGAATCAAATCCCGTACCGAAAAATTCCCGAATCAAATGTAATCCCGTCCTGAAAATCGGGAATATTTCTTTCCCGAAAATTTCCCGAAATTTAAGGACCCGTCCATCCCTAGTTGCGGCATTATCACTTAGGTAAATCCAATGTTGATTTGGCAGGATTTTGAACCAAAGGCCTCAGGGACCAAAGTCCCTCATTCGCTCTATACCTCTAGACCAGCTCACTCCCTGCTAAATGAAACTGCTAAAATCCAGTATGCTAGTCTGAGCTATTGATACTAGATCAAAACACAAAGGTTTTGAACTAGAATAATTGAAGTAACAGCTTCTAAAAGAACGATGGAAATATACCTTAATCCTTTCCATTCCGACGTCCGATATATCGGACATTGTTTGACCTTACAAAAGCTTTTGATTGTGTTCCTCATAAAAGTTTGCTTAGTAAACTCAAATTTTATGGCACTAAGGATGCACAGTTAGGTTTTGTTCATTCTTACTTAAAAGTAATTCCTAAGTAATTCTATTGAAAGCAGTATGTTTCAGTTGGTAGGATGCAATCGGGCTTTAGAGAGGTGGTCTCTGTCGTTCCACAGGGCTCAGTCCTTGGACCATTTCTATTTCTAATATGTATTAATGATTTGCCTCGAAATCTTTGGATTGACTCTGTAATATAGGCAGATGATACTACCCTAATCGCCACTCATAAAGGCATTCATACTCTAAATACAATGACCAATGAAGCCATAAACCTACCTTCTGTTTGGTTCTCAGCGAATAAGCTTAAATGTAATCAGGATAAAACGCATAATATTTTAATAGGCCTCTCTAATGAAATTAAAAAACAATCAGTCAAATTGCTGGTTTTTTGTATGGATTCAAAATTAAATTGGAAAGAACAAATAGGAAACATATGTAAAAAATTTCCCGCGCCAATTGCCTAATCTGGAACATCAAATTTTTTTTTACTTTTAATTATTTGAGAATGGAGTACTTTGGTTTTTTTTAGTCACATATATCCATGGACTAATGCTGTGGGGGCATTCGTCTTATTCAGATGAAATTCTTATTTTACAGAAAAAAGTTATTCAGACCATTTGTGGAACGGGTCCTGTGGATCACTGCAGACCTCTTTTCATTAGGCTTAGAACTATGATGACAATAATTAATCTATACATTTATAAAATTATGCAGTACACAAAAATTAACCGACATGAATTTAATATAAGACAAGATTTTCATTCTCATAATACAAGGAATAAACTACAGTTGGACATGATGTCTCATAGACTTAAAAAGAGTAGCAATAGTCATAGACTAAACTGCATTCATTTTTTAAATAAATCAGCCAGAACTGTATCCTTCAAGATATTCAAATCCAAATTATGTGAATGGTTGATAAGCAATCCTTTCTATGGTATCCATGAATTTCTTAAAACAAAAGTTGATATTGAATTTTGATGTGTATCTACATGATCCATATTACTTGTCATATTTGAATTATAACTAAGTATTTTGTAAACCTTGTATTTTATTTGTTATTTTGGAATGTTTTGTATGTGTTTTTACTATGTATATTCCTTTTACAAATAAAGGTCAATGGCAATAAAACTCTTGATTCTTGATTCACAAAATGTTCCAAAAACTCTGACGTCCGAATATCAGTCAAATCGATCGTACTGACACTATAAATAATCCAAACGTGCTAACATTTTGACATATTTGTTAGATAGAGCTATGGAGTATTACTCTATGCATTTTTTCCTCTGAAGTACGTAGCTGCTATTTTTGGGCTTGTCATCTCTGTTTCGTGCTCTATGGCACATGGCTAGCTAACACTATCTTGCTGTCTGCTGTAACTGGGAAGTTGACGTCTGCTGTTTGTTTTGTTGTGGGTACTGTAATGTTAAAGGTTAAATTTAATGTTACAGGTAAACGTACCAATCGTGTTCCGAGGACCTAATGGTGCTGCTTCAGGGGTAGGTGCACAGCATTCTCAATGTTTTGGAGCCTGGTACAGTCACTGCCCAGGGCTCAAGGTAGGTTGCTTCAGCAATAAACTATCTGGTGAAAATAACAAGAGAGTAAAAATGTGCACATTTAAAATGTTACTACAGTAGAGTCTTGATTACCCGAACTGAACCCACCATGGCAAGCTTGGATGAGCAAAAAACTCAAAATTAGAGGGGATTCCTGTCCATTCAGCCACAGGAGTCCATTCACATTGTGGCAGAAAGTAACGTAAGTATTTCCCTAAATACGTCACCAATATATGCGACGCCACAATCATTGCCACGGACCGAGGTATCCAATTTAGTCTTTCACATAGACCAGCTGTCACTTGGTTAACAGTACACACAGACCACAGGTGAAAACCTGTTAAACAGTGATAATTTACTTTTTAATATGCCACAATTGTGTATATTTTTATTTTTTTATTTTTGATAACCTTTTGTCATGTTGCATATTTGCAACGCCCGGTCCATAGCGAAGACAATAGTGAAAATTATTATATTTTTCTTGAAATAGCCCAAACACCGCATATATGGGACAGTTAATTTTTGTTTATGTTTTGAGGTGAAAGAAAGTAAAAAAAAAAACAGATTATTCAAGAACAGTTTATATAAATATCAAGCTACATAGGATAATGCAGCATACATACTGCATACATACATACAGTGATGCAGCAAAGTAAAGAACAGTGTTCCCAATTATCATATGACGTCACCAATCATCATATCCACAGACCAAGCGACGCAGTTGTGCATCAGACATCCCTGTAGACCACTGCAGAGAATTCAGTGCCTTCAAATAGACGGTTACAAATATATAAGTATTTTGATAACATTGGAACACCGACGCAAATATGCATCGTCAGTCCATTTTAATGTGACTAGCCGTCGCATCTGTGCGTCGCTGGTCTATATGAATGAAAAATGTTGTACAATTGCGGTAGCGAACGTGTTAAAGATGTAGCAAAATGTTGGAATTGAGACATGCAACATCCCCCTCCTCTGCTTGTTATGTGTGGAGAGAAGAAGATGTGCAACTGAGCTTTGAATCGGCAAATCGGTTATAGTAATCAATCAATACAGGGTGGAAAAAAAGTGTCAGGACGGTTAAATATTTAAAAAAACTAATCAAGATAGAGCTACAAAATTTGGTACAAAGTTACTTGGCATTAAAACTAGAGAAAGCCAGTTGAGCGGAGCAATCATGTTTCATGGTTTTTAAAAAAGCAATAAATGAAAAAAAATTGTATAGATATAATACAAAATACACACTCTGCACTGCTAGCCTTTACTACTTCCTTCACCACTTCCTACGTCGTGGACCATTTTCCCTCCCTTCCCATAGCATTTTAGTATTGCAGATACATTAATTAATCTGCCACAAACGGTTCCCACACACAGCACTGCCAGCCTTTACTACTTCCTTTCATTTCATTTATTTCAACGGTAAACAAACACCATTTATACAATAATAATAAATACATTATGAAACAGGCAATAAATCAGTCTTATGAGTAACAATAATAACAAGCAGAATAGGACTAGAAATTTATAACAAAAAGGATATAACAAACAAGAAATCACAATGTGTAACAAGAAAGGAGATTAAGAATAGAGAGGCAGTGTAAAACAGAGATGATAAAAATGGGAAATAACAACCAACAATAAATAGAAAACAACAACAATAATGAATAACAGTGAATAAAAATATGAAACATCAATAACCAGCCTAAACAGATAATAAGCAGTAAGAAATGTAAAGTAACAATAGCAGAAACAGGACACTTGTTTAATCTTGCACTTTTTGTGGCCCATTAATGGCACCACCAAGGTAAATTCACTTTCACATAATCTGGCTCAGCACAGAGCCGACCCGACTTCTGAAGGAGGCAGTTGATCCAGAGAAGAAGTCGATGTGTGTGGCAATTTGACTCCCTAGTCGATGCAATCTGGACAGACCGCTGAGGTAGGCGAAAAGTGTCGGCTGGGAGCGACGCTGGAAGGAGGATCCTTCACAACTTCCTACGTCGTGGACTTGTTTGTCCCCTTCCCATAGCATTTTAGTATTTTAGATGCAATTATCTAACTGCCACAAACGTTTCACACACTCCGCACTTCTCGCCTTTACTACTTCCTTCATCACTTCCTATATCGTTGACCTGTTTAAGTTTGCCATTTTTTAGGTGGATCCATGAATGTGATTCAACGACGAATTGTTTAAGATAAAATGTTATTTTTTATGACCTTATTTAGCTACGTTAATCAAATCTGTTAAATACTGTTAAGAAAGTATGTTTTATTTATGACGGTACCTATTCGATCAGTGGTCGTTTCCAAATTGCTACTTAAACGTAAATCTAAGACTTTCTCTGTATTATTTGATCAGTTGTCTTCATCTAATTTTTTTCCCCTTTGTACTATGTTCAGTTTGTGGCTTGAATTTTTAACATTATTATGCTATAATATGATTCAAATCATATTATAGTTTTGTTTAAATTTACGTTGTTATTTAGTAACCATCATGGCAACCCATTAGGCTAATTTAAAAAGTGATGAGTTACTTTAAAATTATACAGGGTGAATTAAATTCAAGACCCCCCTCTTTAATATTTTCCCAAGTAAAATCAAAATTCGCTTAGTCTGCAGGTTTGCTGCGGCAGGGGTATTTGAAATATTTAACTGTCCCAGGACTTTTTTCCTACCCTGTATAGTGTACTTTGTAACCGTCCCACCTCAGACTAACTTGGATAAAGTTGCTGACTTTTATGGTCGAGTTTGTGCACCACCTTTTAAATGAAGTAAACTTATTATCACTACAAATAAACTTTAAAACAAAGGTATAAGAACCTTCACAGGTTTGATTAAATATTTTTTATGGGGACATTAAAGATATTTTTTTTATAATAAAACAAGGATCCATTTTGTTGACAGGTGATTTCCCCATACAATTCTGAAGACTGCAAGGGTCTTTTGAAAGCTGCCATCAGAGATCCCGACCCAGTTGTGTTCCTAGAGAATGAAATTCTGTATGGGGCTCAGTACCCCATGTCAGATGAAGCTCTTTCCAAGGACTTTGTACTTCCAATTGGCAAAGCGAAAATCGAACGGTCAGGTAAATCAAAGCTCTTGTACTAATGTTCTAATGTATTGTATTGTATGTTTGGTGAGTCGGTGGCTCAGTTGGTAGCGTCACGGACTTCGGGCCCAAGGCAGCGATGTCGTGGGTTTGGATCCTGGTCACTGCCGCAACCTTCGTACTGTACCTGCTCACCCCTTGCTTTACTGGATACGTTCCACGCACAGATCTGTAGTCTATGTGGACGGTCAAATGCAAGGTTAAAAGAAGCCGTAAACCTCTTTAAAAAAATGCCATTTATGTCCATCACCTTTTTCTGATGGTGTAGTCATACATTTTCCAGTGTGGGTGGGAACCCTTAGCCCTCCAAGTGTCCATAGTAATGGCATTAATGTCGGCCCATTTATTGCGCAATCACAGGGTTTTATTGAAATGTATCTTAGAAACTTAAAAACACTCTAAAGTATACTGTTTTATATATCATTTTGTTTGGAAAATTATGGGCTTCAATGTAATATACAGGGTGTTTCAGAATTCGTGTCGGATATTTTAGGGTATTGTTCCTGGGTAAGAAACAAATCCAATGGAAGACTATGTTGATGATCCAGTGACCGCCGGTGATATTTAGGATTTGTCTGTTACTGCAGAGCAAAATTCAGGTTTTTGCCGCAACCGTGGAAGACAGTGATGATGTATCTGTGACCAAGGAAGATATTTAGAATTTTGCAGAGATCGCAGAAAACAAAAGAGATGTCTCCATAGCCGCATGGACATGATCACAATAATACCTCGATCCAGGTTGATCATCAATTTCAGCCTGGCACATCTCTAGTTATAATAAAAGTTTCTATTTGGTATTGGTTCATAACTCCTTCATTTACCTTCAATATTGTATTTATTTAATGTGTTTGGAACAGTTTGAATTTTTAAATGGCTAATTAGAATTTTTCATTGCTGGTTTAATTTTCTTTTCTTCAACACACCGTTATCCCAAAATTACTTAGTGTAAGAACAATAAGACAGGGGTTGGTGTAGTATAAAATAAAAATCCAAAAATAAAACAAAAATAAAATGGTTTGGGATCATTAATTGATAGTAATGGCTTAAAACAAACCCAAAAAATATTACTGTTGGAACAAAAAAAGATGACATAAAGTTAAACTGTTTAGGATTTGCTGACGATCTGGCTCTTCTAGCTAATAACATCCAAGAAACCAAGCAACAAATAAAATCACTTCAGGAAATAGCCCAGAGCATAGGTCTAAAAATTTCTTTTGAGAAAACTGAAATAATGTTAACAAAACCACCATTGGCTAACAAAATCAAAATTGGAGAACATTGCATCAAAATTGTAGAAAATTTCAAATACTTAGGTGAAGTTATAACATACAATCTTAAAGAAAATCCATCATGGCAAAATAGAATTAATAAATTGATCAGAATGCAACATATTACTAAAAACACATACAACAAAAAATGCCTATCAATAGCAACAAAATTGAAACACTACACAAAGCAGTTATACTTCCACAAATAACATATGCAAGTGAAACTATATTGTGGTTGTACCCTATTTTGTAGGAAAGCACATTACCATTGTCGCCCACTCCAAAGCTGTGGAAACGTCACTAGACGCAGCCAAGGAGCTGGCGGGTCAGGGTATTGAAGCGGAAGTGATCAACCTACGAAGTCTGCGACCACTGGATATTGAGACTGTTGGCAAGTCTGTCATGAAGACCAACCATTTAATATCAGTGGAACAAGGATGGCCACAGTCTGGCATTGGATCTGAGATCTGTGCTAGAATTATGGAAAGTAAGTTTAAGGATTTGACTTGTTTATTAACAATAATGATTGTAGGTCGGGCTTTACAATTTAGGTTGTTAGGAATTAGGATATAAATTTAATATCAGCAAATCCTCCTGTAACTTAAGATACACTTTATTTACTTTTGTACTTGATTTTAGTGAAAGATGTGATAATCACCAGTGTATACACAAAGAAAATTCCTTTTATCAATTAACACTGTGTTGGTATTTATATACCAATTATCACAAAATTACATTGTGTTGTGAAAAATTAATTTTGCTGTAATCCAATTTGCATAATCTGATGTTGTCATAATCAACATTTTCAAAATTACATTTCTCAAAAAAGGTAATGGCAGCTAAAACTATTTATTCACTAATAGGCCTAGTGTAAGTAATTTAATCCTTGGCCAGAATTATGAGTCTGAATACCAACATCGTTCCTGAACTGACACTGTGATGGTTCCAAGCATTGTCTACAAACTAATTTCAGGGTTCAACTAAGATTCAATAAGATTTATTGCAGCAATTAAACATAACATTTTTTAATAGGCATTGTTACAATAGTACTTAAAAATAGTATCATACATCAATTGTAAATTTCAATATATACAATATCCTATTTTGATTCTAAACATTATATGTCATTATTTAAACATTCTTCCTGAGTGTAGAATGCTTTAGATTTTAAAAACTCTGTGATTTTTCTTTTAAATTGGTTTAAAGGCTGTTTACAAGTGGGTTGAAAAAAAGTTGTTGAAGAAAATATGTTGGATGTAAAAATGGCTATTTAAAGATTTTGAAAGTCGGATTTGAGGTGTGACTAGGTTATTTTTGTACTTCATGTTGTATGGATGAGAATAGCTGGGACATTTTAAGGGGTTGTTTTTCAAATGGATTTAATCACAAAGAAAGTACAAATATGGCAGGGTAAGCAAATTTAAATTGGAAAAGTGATTCATACAGGATTCTTGATCTTGCAATCCTGGCTCTAAGCGCTTTCTTTTGTCAGACAAATGCTTTCTGAGCTAAGTGTGAACCACCCCACAGACGCAAACCATAAAGCAGCTGTCAGTGAAACAAACCGTAGTAAGTCATTACCAAAGTATTAAAACTTACACATGATCTAAGTTTTCTCAAGAGACAGGTAATTCTAGCCAATCTTTTACAAAGTTGTGTTGTTTGTTATTTGTTTATCCCAGCTTAATCTGTTGTCACTTGTCAGGATGGATACCTAAGAGTTTGGCTGTTTATAAGCATCAGTGGGTTGATATTTTTTTAGTGAAAAGTAAATTAATTCTGTTTTGTCTTCATTGATAGCCAAATTATTGATTTTATACCACAATTTCCAAATTAAATCCGGGGATCGCCTCTGAACAGTTGACTCTAAAAGCCGTATTGACCTTTAAGTAATAGGTTATTCACAGTAAAATAGTGTTTTGTAAATGCTGTTCAAGCATACATGATTCAATTATTTTTCTTAAAATTGGAACCAAAGCTATTGTGCAATAATTTGATGGGACATTCTTGTCACCTTTCTTGTAAATTAGCGTTACTCTGGAGGTTTTTAAACATAATCAGGCAACTTGTCTTCAATTAAAGCGAAATTTATAAGATGCGTTAAAGGTTCCAGGATAATGAAACAGAATGGTGTTTTTTTAACTGTTGCGTGCCTAACATTGGTGTTGAAGACTTCGCTAATGTGTTTATTAATTGCAGGTGAAGTGTTCTACCATTTAGACTCCCCGGTGATTCGAGTGACGGGGGCTGATATCCCCATGCCATACACAAAAAGCCTTGAAATTGCTGCCCTTCCCCAACCCGCTGATATTGTAGCCGCTACGAAAAAAGTGCTTGGTGTCAAATGATACACGAATCTCCAATCTGTAGGGTAAATCTTTCACAGATAGCGTTTCCAGGACAATAGAAACAATAAAATGTCAAAAGGTTTCATCAGGAATTTGATAGATATTGTAGCCTATAAATTATTTGGAAAATAAATTTTAGTCAAAAAACATTATTGTACTTTTTATCTGTAAGTGTGAGAACAAAAAAACTATTTTACTAATCATTTGGTTCATTAACCGTCCCAGTTAAAATTGAAATAGCTTATAAGAAGTTGTATTACTAAAATGTACACACATTGATGTAAAAATTGATACAATGAGCCTCCTTAGCTTTTTTTATTTTAATGAAACCAGAGCTTGAGAATATTTGATTGGATTATCAATGTGGTTGTAAAGTAATTGTTAAACATAATTTTGTAAGAATTGAATATTGCTTAGCATAGCATGTCAAATGAATTCCTTTGCAGCCTAGCTGCATAATAGCTTTACTTTATGTTATGTGCATCTTTATTTAATGCCTGAGCACTATGTTTATTCTTGCGGTCACTTATATTCTGGGTGGTTGAAAAATAGTATGGTTTATAAGCTTCTAAAGCCCAATATCATTATTTGTTGGACAGATAATATTTCACACTTATTTGGAGAACTCCCCATGAAAAAAATATACATTATCATTATCCTATCAACTATGAAAGTAATTTCTGTCAATGTCTATTACTGTTGATATTTAAATGTCAATTATGCTCTCTAAATTTCTGCAGTATTGTCTGGTTTACCAAAATAACTTTTATGTATCTGTCATTTTGGAATGGTTAGTAAAAATATTAACAACACAATAACATGTAATTATTATACAACACATATATACACACATTTATTGATATCACATATCATATTGAGATGTGTTGAGATTTTTTCAGTTAGTTTTTTCAGTTATATGGTTTGTATTTCCAAAATTTAGACTTGTATAAAAGCACTTATGACTAACCAGTTCAAACTGTTGAATACTTGTATGGCATCAATAGTTATTTGTGTAACTAGTGTGCAAAATGGCACTTTGCTGCACATTAGAGAAATGTTTACGCACGTTAGTGTTGAAAGTTTCTCGAGTGCAGCAAAGGCACTTTGCACTCGTGTTACACATAATATTTTTCCTACAGTTACTATAAATCATAGAAATAATTAGTCTTTCAAACACTATACAACACGTTTTTAGGTTAGGTTAAATCCAATTGTTCAACAAAATGGGATCCCTGCACCAGTTGATTGTAGTTGTAGTATCTTTAAGTGTTGCCAACTTATTTTCAAGCATTCACATATTAAAATAATAAAGCTCCTAACCTAATAAAAGCACACTGTTTTGTGTTGTTTGGCTGAAATACTCAAGTGCGGCAAAATAAAATTAATGAGGCAAAAGAAAATGAGTGCGGCAAAAGTAAGTAAATGCAGCTAATCAGTGCAAGGAAGCCCACTTTGTAAGGTAACTGTAGGAAAGATTCTTTCTTTTGATGTATGAATTCCCGTATGTTTCTGAAATAGTTAAATAGGCTAAACCCTTTAAATAGTCTTTAAAACCCTTTTAAAAATAGATTTAAGAATTTTATTTCATGTGACTAGTTATACCACGATTACACAGTTTAATTATATGTCAAAAATTTTTTATCTACTAGAAAATATACCCATTGCTGCAAATAATTTTCCAACAGTAGTTACAATTTTCAATCAATTTTTTACTGTTTTCAACGATCCCATAGTGTGTTAGATTTTCTTTTATTCATTGATGTTTAAACTCAGGGCCTCACACCAGATGTAACATAATACTGTCAACTGTATATATTGTGTAGTTGTGGTGTGAGTTGATATTGCGGTGTAGTTACCAACTTTACAAAGTGTAATAGTATAAAGTGCTCATGTTACTGCCCTCTTAGTGTAATGTAAGTTAGAAAAAGGATGCTTTAAAAGTGTTAGTTAATGTTAAACATATGACATTTCTTAATTGAGTTCTTGTAAGTGCTACATAATATTTTGTTGCCTAAATGCTATTTTAAAACCAATTTGTAAGCTCAGATTGTTGCCGCTGCTTATGATAATGAAATTGTCTTTAGTATAGGTAATACATTTTCCGATAAGCTATCATTTATTTTTTTTTACTTAAATAAGTTAATTTCTTAACTTAAAACCCTCTTTTTCTTCAACAACTTTTGGGAATAAACAGTTGTACATAATTTCTTTCCTGAAAATTTTGATAACTTTTCTGGTTTTTAGAAGTGCCTAAGATTGTTTTTTTTAGAGGACATGGTTCGAAATTAACTGCTTACCTCATTAATTTGTATGAACTTCATTTTGTTTTTGTGAAAGCTCTCCGGCAGTATTCACTATCATAAAGTTATAATAATACTGTATTTACTGTGTGAGAAAAAATCCCAGTGGAATTATTTTTGAAATTTAATTATTTCAGTTTGTTACGGTACGTTTTGTTTCTGAAAATAGCATTCCACAATTAAAGCTTTAATTCCTGGTAATTCACAATGTTTTCTGCAGAATATAACATAATTTTTCTACTAAGTTACCTCTGCAATCTTGCATTTCTACTTATAAGATGGCCATAACACCACTAGTTTAAATACTAGTGCTGTCTGTATATTTCTGTAAACTTTTACAGTGCTCTTGTTGATTTTGTCAGATTTGTATATAAAGCATTGTTGCAGAATATTTGAGCTTTATTTCAATCACTATCTAGTATCTACAATGTTATTAATCTGTTAAAAGTTTCTAACCTGTGGCTATTCATGTCAAAGGAGGAAGTGTTCTATTCATACTATAGTTGTAGCTCTTAGTCAGCTATCTCTTCTGCAGATTCATTATATGATTACCATTCTTTTCAAGGTTTAACATTTTACAATTATATTTTTGTTCATTGCAAAACACAACAAAAACAGTTGGGCACAGCAGTAACAGTTGGGCTTTGCCCACTAAAACTGATTAATATATTAAACATATCCAATTTTCCATGCTCTGACTCATAATTTGTAGTGGATGACAGTGTACTGTCACTGACCGTCGCCAATCATTCCTGTAACCCATTTTCAGTATTAAATCTAGGCCTAATTGTCGGTTTGTAGTGTTTCGTGTTCTATGTGTGCAAATAGTTTGACAAAATCAAAAGATGGATAGTTTTTAAGCCCTGATGGATATGATTAGGACTTGACTGAAGCGGATACCTGGGTCATCCACTACAACCAACGAGTCAGAGCTAGAACAGAAGAATTGATATGTACAATCAATTTAATTAATTGTGCCATAAATGGCTGTTACAGTATGTTTCACTATCATATTGTAAACTTGAAATATTTTGCAGGCACCCCCTTAATTTAAAATTTTATGTTTGATATTTAAAATTCTTTTCCTGTTGTTCCATGTATAGGAATGGTAAATTGGTTGACCAGGCTTAAAATTGCTCATGATTTTGTTTGACGTAAAAAACTGTTTCATATTTGAGTCCTGCTGTAAATAGGGCCCCAACACAGTTTCTTAAAGCGGAATTCAGAATAGACATATGTCGTTAATAATGCATGCTTATTGACTTGTTACAGTGTCAATTGATTGCAGAGCAGAGCTATCTCAACTTGCATTTCTACTCAGTCTAGTATTGGCCTGTTCGTAAATAGCTTAAGACAACTCTTTACAGTAAGTTGCAAACATAGAAATTTGATTATAGGCTATTACATATTCATTTTGTAAAAAAATGTTGGTTACATAAAAGTAACCATCTAATTTTACTGGGAAAAGATCAAAGTTGTTGGTGCAAATTAGGTTGATTATGATGTCACTGAGATCTAAAATTGCTTCCCTGAATCGCTGAATCATGCCTCTACCACATGGCAGTTCAGATGATTTTATAATATAAGTATTAGTAAAAAGTTGTTTAAAAAGGGTAAGTTATTAAAAAACCATTCATCACCCAGAGACAAATTTACATATCTACCACTTAACCCCTAGGCACTACTTTTACAGTCTTCCCTCTACATAAACTTTGTAGGAGAATAGGAATATGCCACTTCTTATTTCTGCCCGGTCGCTGCACCCGCATTTTGTCAAATGCCTCAGACGTAACCATCACTGTCAGATTACACTGTTGGTACCGAAGCATCAGTAATAACATTGTAACATAAGTTCTCGTTGTGGTGATTCATTAAAATCTGGATAGGGAATTAATTTAGGTACCAAAACATTATTATTAACCTACCTTCAGCTCAGATACAGTAATATCATATATTTGTCAATGATATATATATTACAGGTACTGTATATTTTTACTCCACAGTTTACTTTTGCCCTTCCCAGCCAACCAAGTTTACTCAATACTACCTGTGTTTCACACACACATTCACTGTGCACTTTACTGTATGTCAGTTTTGAGAGTTTGGCAATGGGTTTATTTCACCAAGCTTGCAGTTTTATTTTATTTTTAATCAAAGACTGAGACTAAACATCAAATTTAGCAAGTAGCAAGAAGTAGCTTGTATACGAGGCATGTTTTTTTAAGTAAGTACCGTTTTTAAATTTCTCCGTTCCAGCGCTGCGATTGGCTTTTTAGACATTTGCGCTGTATATGTGCATCTATTGGCAAGCCCTAGCAGGAAATTCGACAACAATAGGCCGTGTTTAGATCTGGTTTTGAGCATTCAAAACAGTGCCGCCAATTGAGACTGCCGCCGACTGTGAAGTGTGCGCTGAAATTAGATTTTTAAGTGCTAAAGGCGTGAAAGCCACTGAAAATCATCGAAAGATTAGTGAAATATATGGCGAGAACATTATCAGTAACGGAATGGTACGCAAGTAGGTAAGGGCATTTAAAAGCGGCCCCACCAACATTCATGATGAGCAACGCACTGGGTACAAGACAGTAATGACGCCGCCAAGTGCGTTACTCATCATGAACGTTGGTGGGGCCATATTTAAATGACCTTACCCACATGCGTACCATTATGTCACTCATGATGTTCTCACCATACATGTCACTAATCTGTTGATGATTTTCAATGTCTTTCACACCTTTAGCACTTAAAAATCTAATTACAGCGCGCATTTCACAGTTGGCGGCAGTCTCAATTGGCGGCACCATTTTGAATGCTCAAAAACCGGATGTAAACATGGCCGATTTTTCTCGAATTTCCGGCTAGGGCTTACCAATAGATGCCCATATACAACGCAAATGTCGAAAATGCCAATCGCAGCGCTGAAACGGAGAAATTTAAAAACAGTACTTACTTAAAAAACATGCCTCGTACATAAGAAATTTAAGTTTTGAAAAAGGTGAAATAAAGAAGTTATTGATTGCTCTCAAATGTACTCCTTGACCTACTGTGGCCATCTCCTTCCAATTCCAAGAAAAGTTATTGAAAATACAGTAAATTTTTGGGCAGATTTTTTTAAAACAGTAGACTCTCGCTCATCTGGATCGGCCTTGTCTGGACTCCCACTAGTCCGGATTGGCAATCGTGATTTTTTTAGCGGCACAGTACAGTAGAAGTCGGATTATCCGAGCTAAACAGGACCAAGACTACCTCGGATAATCAAAAACTCAGAAAACATGGCTATAAAAATTATTACCAGTTGAACTTCATTTGCCCGGCTATCAATACTGTGGACCTGGAATAAAAAAAAAAAATTAAAAAAACGGCTATATACAGCACTGTATTTGCTCGACTCTCGATAGTCCGGATTTTTCATAATCCGGACCGGACGTCCGCCACATTAGTCCTGATGAGCGAGAATCTACTGTAACATGGTTTGCAATATCGGAACTCTATATGGATAATAAAATCTGCCATGATCCCAAGTCCCCTAGAATTGTCTTTTAACATAGTTTTCTCAACCCATGCTAGTCATAAACCAGATGAATATTTTAATATTTAAAAATATTTTTTTTACATTATTTTTACTTTATGCAGCATAATTGTATGTGAACATCTATCTATACTTATTTAATACGCAAGCAGGTATTTTGTGACAGTTACTCCTCCGAAACTACTGAACCGATTGACATGTTTTTGGTGTCATTGGAAATTGCGTAACGTGAAGTTGTGCAGAAAACTTTCTTTTCAGGGAAATAATTAGAGAGTTAGAGACCCTGGGGCCCTTTAAAGTTTCTTATTTCTCCATAATATTAACATGGGAAACAAACATTGTTATGAAACTCCAGCAGAAATTAAAAGTGAGAAGAAGAACATATGTTAATTGTAAAATTGTGACGGAGAGGTTTTGCAGAAAATCAGACTACATTATCATTGACAAAGACCAACATGGACAACCTATTACGGCTATAAGTGGGAAACATTTCTAGAATACACTAAAAGCCAGATCAGCTTTTGAAAAATGATAAAATATTTACAAGAAATGTAAATTATATTGAACTGTTAACTACATTGTGAGTATTATCATTAGTTACGTGATCTTTGAGTTGACTCTTTTAAACTCATCGGAATTTATGACTTATATTTGTTCTTAAATAAGTTATTTGTATTTAAATAACTCCTTTACTTCTTTGCGAATCGAGCAACATGTACACTAGTTCTAGTATAAAGCAGATTCTGGCATTAATTGGCAATTTCAAATCTTAACAAATCACTTATTCCTTGCATTCTGAGAGCAAACATATTGCATTGATCATACGGTTCTCTAAAATTGTCTTACCATGACTCATCTTTAAAACTGCACATTAAATTAAATAACCGTTACTTAAATAACTGTTATTTAAACGTTTTACTTAAATAACTGCACATAAAATAACTGTTTGGTAAATATTAATTTAGATCCCGCTTTAAAGAACACTTTTCTAGGCATCTTATTTTTTTTATAAATTATTTAAGGTTCCTTTTCCTTGTTTTTCTGGCAATCTAGATAAATGATAACATTAGCCAAAAGGCACATTTACAGTTAAAACAGTTAGTATAATTAACAGTTTCAATGGAGGGAATAATTGATAAAAGTTTTACCTATGTCATGTACAACATTTTTATGAGTTTGTTGGTAAGCGTCTAAAACCTCAGCAACCCGTGACCCCTCTTAGGGGAAGCTCCCGTAAGGGATCAGTTGTTGAGACACCATCTGGGGCTGCATGGGAAAAGCGTCTTACCCGAAAGGAGAAGAGGCAGCAGAGGCGGGCGGAGGTCACCTCCAAGAAAAATGTGGCGGTAAAGGCACAAACGACAAACGTTGCCCAAATTGGGCCCGGTTTGGCCCCCGCTCTTAAAAGGTCGCGGCCAAAAAAGCCCAGGACGGAGGAAATCTTGGTTAAGCCCTCAGGGGGGAGATCATTCGCTGAAGTCTTGGGTATAATAAAGGCTAAAGCTAAGCCGGAGCAGACCGATACGGTTGTGCGGTCGATTAGGCAAACCCGGGGCAGGGACGTCCTCCTTGAACTGGGTAAGTCAAAGGACAAATCCGCTTTTGCTGCTGAACTAAAGGCAGCCGTGGAAGGCCAGGGCATCGTCCGTGCACTCGAGCCTAAAACGTCAGTTGAGGTTCGAGGCATAGATGGTGTGTCGACAGAGAGTGAGGTGGTTGAGGCCCTAAAGGAAGCAGTCCCCGAGCTTGCCGGAACATCGGCTGTTCTTAGGGTGTGGCTCACAAAACCAAATAGAAACCAGCAGCGGATGGCGGTCGCCGAAATGGCAGACGCACACGCTAGTAAGGTGTTGGCACTCC